CACACACACACACACACACACACACACACACACACACACACACACACCACACCCCACACCACACCACACCAAACATTCAGATGCCTGGAAGTTGTGGAGACAGTAATCCCAATACTGGGTAAAAACATGGTACCTTTCCTACACAGACATTAGCCCCAGCTCAGCTGCGCATTCCAACCCACTGCTGCCACTCTCCACCTCCATCCGGGCTCCCTGTTGCAGATGCTCCCCGCCAGTCCTGTCCCACACGGGCAGGAACAGGCTCGCGAGCCCCTGGGTGGGCGCACTGGCACTATACGTTTCATGTTCAAACACACTCTGCCCTTCCCAGATTCCTTAAATCTTGCTCCTCAAGCATGCAAAATGAGACCATGGAAATGGGAGAGAAGTTCAAGCTAACCTAGCAATGGAACAGGTATTCAGAGCTCAGTTGCTGGCCCCTGCGTCTGGGGAGCCTCTGTGTGAGCTGGAGGGGCACAGCAGGCTGGTTTGTGTGGCGAGCGCAAAGGGACGAGTTAGTACGCATTAAAGCTACAGCAGAGGCCTGCGCTCCTGGTCTTGCATCATGCTAGACCATTCTCCTCACCCTCAATATTCAATAGCACCCTCTGGCCTCCTCTTAGCTGAATGTGGGGAGGGCTGAAAGGCAGGGAGGACAGAAAGACTGGCTGGGGGAACCCTGAGAGAGGAGGCTGCATCCATGAGACTGCAGGAAAGACAGGGGCTCCAGTGGCGCAGGGATAGCCACCTCTGCCTCCAGCAAAGCACAGGAATGGCATGGGATGTGCGCGAGAGCGGAGGATCACGTGGGGGCACGCACTCCCCTCCAGGTTCCCTAGGTCTTCGTCCCCTACTGTAAAGAGCTAGCCAAGCTGCTGAAATGGGCAAGAAGGAGCACTCCACAGTGGCTTCTGTGGCTTCTTGTCCTGGGAACCCTTGTCAAGTATTGACCGAAACCTGAAACATGATGTTTAAAGTGATCAATGCAATAGATTCTATGTGTATAACAAAACTGCAGAAACACATGCTAGTTTAGGTTGGATTATAATCATCTGAAGCACAGGATAACCAAGAAGTGAAATTCCATTCTGGTACAACCACCCAGTTTCTAGAAAAGAGAAAGGAAAGAAAGGAAACAATACAATAGGAGCTTTTTTGATCAGAAGACTCCATGAAAGGAGAGGGTGGTGAAGCGAACCCACGTGATTTTTCAAGTCTTCCTTCTGTACAGTCATGAGGGTGACCAGGTTTGTGCTGCAAACGAGCCAGCACCATGTGGCTACTGCTCTGATTGTTCTCAGATGAACGTGTATACAAAATAATATCTTATCTTCATTTAGTTTATAAACATACACAGTGCTGTCCCTTTCAAATTAAGGAAAAAAAAAAACCACACACAAATACTGCAAAGTAGCAAAATACAAGGGGGGAAAAAGCTACTTTTGGTTTTGGCAACATTAAAAAAAAGAAATATAAAAAGCAATGTGGCATTGGTCCCTGTTCATAAAAAAAAGGTACTTGGGCACGACACTGAATCAGAATTGGTTTTCTAAAATTCAGAATATCTGGGGTTTTAAAAGTAGCACTTTTGTCTTTTAAAAGTTCAACAAGTCACATAACACTTAAAACATCAAAAAAGCTTTCTGATAAAAAGCTCAGCTATTTTAAATCACATTTTGTTTCTGCAAATTTGAGAGACGAATTGAGTTCTTACTGGAATGTGGCCTATCGCTGGTTGACAAATGTGACACAGAATGTCTCCGAATGGCAGTGCCTCCCTTTTGCCCTCCCTGGGACCACGCCAACAACCAGCTACCAAGCACAAGTTCCTGCTCCCATTTTGGGGGTGGGGGGGGTGGACCTTCAGGCTGCGATCTTCGCCATCTGCTGTTCTAACTTGGAAATGCGCTCATCTTGATTGCAGATTGTGTCTTTTATAGATTTGATCTCTTTTAAAATCTCATCCAACTTGGCTTCGTTTTGCTAAGGAAACCAGGAAGGGGGGAGTGGAGAGGGAAGAGGTTACTAAAACGCAGTAAACGAAGCTTAGCACAGTACAATCTAATTTTCTACTTTGGAAGTGGCAAGCCACAGCCACCAAATTGGGCCTTCCGAGCAAAGTACTGCCTGCTGGTCAGTCCACCTGCCGCCCACAGCAGAACCAGGGTCCCGCGGCACTACTCCCACTCCTCGTGCCTGTGTGCTCACCTGGACTAAGACTCAGGACACAGTCAAACTGTGGGACAGGACGGATTCTTTCAGGCCTGCCTCACAGCCCAGCCATCCCATGCAATGCCATCAGGAGTAGCTTCTATGTGACCTGGGTTAGGGGTGAACTTCCAGAAGCTACAGAGCTCCTACCATCTCCCAGGGACGGTCCTTCTTAGGAGCTAACCCCTCCTGCCCAGCTTGCTAACTTCCGAAGAGGCCTTAGTCTCTCCTAGGTGGAGGCAATTCCTTTGGAAATCCTGCAGGCCACGGCGCCTCACGTGGCTTCCTCAATCACGGCCAAAGCACCAGTTCCTGCAGGTACCTTGGCTCTTCATTCCACTCACCTCCTCACTGACAGCTCACTGCCGGTCCTCTGGCTCCCGGGATCCTGCTCCACTCCCGCCAACTCCCCATGCCCTGTCCTCCCTAGTTAGACCCTGCTCTTTCAGCAGCAGCACCCCCGGGGGCCATGCGGGTGTCCAACATCAGGCTTTGCTTCCCACCACTCCACTGAGACAGTTCTTGCCAAGAGGCCCAAGATCATCTTTGCTGCTAAGTCTCACTCACCACCAGATGCTTGTCTCTGGAACACTCAGCAACACCTGAACACTCTTATCACTCGTTTCCCTTCCTGGGACCCTGTCTTTCCAGCACCTGTGGCCCCACACTCTTGTGTTTCATTTCTACACCAATCAGACATGAATGTAAACACTGGGGAGAAACAGCTAAGACACCGAAGCAGGGGTGCCCAGTGACTCAGTCGGTTAAGCGTCTGCCTTTGGCTCAGGTCATGATCCCAGGCCCCACATCGGGCTCCCAGCTCAGTGGGGAGTCTGCTTCTTCCTCTGCCCCTGCCCGTGTTCTCTCTCTCTCATTAAAAAAAAAAAAAAAAATCTTAAAAGAAAAAGATAAATCAAAGCCCTGAGCCAGCCAAGCACACCCTCCACCTCCTGCAGGCCTTACCACGCTGGCCATGTCTGGGGTTTTCTTGGGGACACTGATCAGGTCACACTTCTTATTTGCAGTGGGCTTGCTATCCAGAATGTTCTTCTTGACCACCTTGAGATCCCTGTTTTTGCCGGGAATGTATCCATGCTTTAAGGAGATGAGGACTGGCTCTGCATTCCTCCCCTCAAACCACTCCTCTGCCTCCAGCGCCGCTTCAGGCCCTGCTGTGTCAGGATACAGGTCATCCTGGAAAAGGTCAGACTACAAGAGACATTTTGAGAAAATCCTTAAAGAAGACAGACCTGGAATTTAAAAAAATCTTTTTAAACATGGATTGGCTAGGAAACTGGGCACTTACCTTCCTGGGAACAGTCATGATAATAGGCTCACACTTTCTCTCATGAAGTTTGAAGAATCTTCAAGGGGGAAATAAAGGTAAAGTTGTATTAAGTGAAACAGGAGGCCAGGTAACAGGCTTCATGACTGACAACTAGTCGTTTACATTGCTGTATGGACACAAAATGCTTTGCCTATAACCTTAGCTGATCTACCCTGGGGAGCAGGTACAATTTGTGTTCCCATTTTCCAGGTGAGAAAAGAGAAGCCAAGAGTAACTGTGCTAGGAAATGGTGGACTGGAAACAAGAACCAGGAGCAGGAGTTTATGCTTCTGGGGATGGTCCAACTCCAGTCATCTGGGGGCTGACCAGCCATGGTGGAAACACCACCACCGATGATGATTCACTTCTGGAAAAGTGACCAAGTCAGCAGACAAGAGAGAATAACACCTAATATTAGATAGCTCCTATGACTTGGATGCCAGGTCTTCTGCCAACTAGAGGTAGTTGAACGTTTGTCAGCATAAATAGTATTTTTAAAAAGGAAAGAAAACAATCTTAAGATTAAAATTTTGGCATCCAAGCAAACCACATCATGTCTAACACTCAAGAAAAATTTGAAATTATCCAAAACGTGGAAAGAGTGGGAACCTCTGCAGTCAGCTTGGCAGTAAAACAGACTGTACTGGGACTGACAGCCAGCTCAAGGACTGTGTGTGGCAGCCTGTTTAGCACAGTGCCCAGTGTCTAATGAATGCTCAAGAAACACTTCATACGTAGGAGGTATCCTGAAGGATTATGCTTATAGTCTCTTAAACTTTTAGATGACAGTAAAATAAAGGCTTTCCCAAATACTGGAGGCAATCTTAAGTTTGGATTCAGTCTATTTTGAACCACATTTTGATGAGATTGGTTTACAACATAATTTTGAATTATCTGTGACAGCTTTCCTTCACTGCTCCAGTTATAGAGAATTGAATGTATTTTAAAAAGAAACTTACAATAATTAATGTAAAAAGGCGCTTCCAAAAAATTATTTTTATTTTTAAAGATGTATTCATTACTTGTGTGACCAAAACAGCATAGTTAGGCAGATGTCCATAGAAATGTAGTGCTGTGGGGCGCCTGGGTGGCTCAGTTGTCAAGTGCCTGACTCCCGATTTTGGCTCAGATCATGATCTCAGGATTCTGAGATCAAGCTCCACATCGGGCTCTGCGCTCAGCAGGGAGTCGGCTTGAGAGCTCTGTCTTTCCCTCTCTCTCTCTGCCCCTCCCCCTGCACGTGCGCTCTCTAAAATAAACAAAATAAATTTTTAAAAATTAAAAAAAAAAAGAAGAAAGAAATGTAGTGCTATACAAATGTGCGGTATGACTAGGTCTGATAGTGCTAGTCATTCTGTTCTTTAAAATAGTCAGTTACTGGGGCGCCTAGGTGGCTCAGTCGTTAAGCATCTGCCTTCGGCTCAGGTCATGATCCCAGGGTTCTGGGACTGAGCCCCTGCATCGGGCTCCCTGCTCAGTGGGAAGCCTGCTTCTCCCTCTCCCACTTCCCCTGCTTGTGTTCCCTCTCTCGCTCTGTCTCTGTCAAGTAAATAAATAAAATCTTTAAAACAAAACAAAACAAAACAAATACACGACCAAACCGTTTAAAAAAAAAAAAAAAAGAAATGGTCAGTCATTCTTGAGTCTCATGAACTATCGTTTGTTAACCAGGAGAAAAAAGCCTACCCTTTAGGAAGACCACTAGCATTATGCAATATAAAAATCCACAGTAGTATAGAGAGGCAGGAATTATATAACATAGCTGAACCTCCTAAATCAAGCTAACCCAACACCCAGCTATTGGTCTTTGGCTTCTCTAACTTAGGATCCATGAGGTCTACAATCCAATTTGGAACCTATTTGTCCCCCCACAGGGCAGAAAAAGCATCTCTTCTTTCCATCCCAAGGGCAGGCCCTCCCTGCTTGCCTCCCAGGGAACACTGGCCACAGTCTCAGCCTGAAGACAAGAGATGAAGGCTTTGCTATTTAAGTGTGCAATACGCCTCGGCTAACCCAGTGCACTGCAGGTTATGTACTGTGAAGAATAGGGAGGGACACAGTTCAATTAAATGATTTTGAAAGGTTCTTCACTGCTCTAAAACTCCATGTTCTGGGGCACCTGAGTAGTCTGCCTTTGGCTCAGCTCATGATCTCCAGGTCCTGGGATCAAGCCCCACACTGAGCTCCCAGCTCAGCTGGGAGTCTGCTTCTCCTTTTCCCTCTGCCGCTCCCCACTGCTTGTGCTTTCTCGTCTCTCTCTCTCAAATGAATAAATAAAATCTTTTTTAAAAGAATAAATAAAACTCCATGTTCCTAAGTGTGGGCAGGAAAGGAGACACCAATTCTACATGACAACAAAGGGCACAGAGACTGGCTCCATGGCATGACTGGTAGATGACTGTTCTTGTGTAGTGTGCATGGCACAAACAATGTGAAGACTTTACCAGACTAATTCTTTACCTGGCAATCTCACATTTGTTAACATCAAGTCCCCTCTTGGGCATATAGCCCATCCCTCTCTGAGGCTCCTTGCTGCTGAATGTGTTGAGGTAGTGGACGTACGGGGATTCATCTGTGATCTCAAAATAGCGGATACTGCTGTCACCCTACAAGAAATCAGAGACAAGTTTGCGTTGGATGTTACCTGAACCATCTGGCTGAAGTGGGGTCTCTCTCCCCTCTAAGCCCAGCATTAACTGGGACTCCGCCTCAGTGGCCAACCTTTGCTCTCTCTTCAGAGGAAGAGGGTATGATGGTTTCTCTTCCTGGCAAAGCAAGCCCTCACTTACCAGATGATAGCCTGTCCTTTAAACGGTCTCCTCTGCCTCCTACTGAAGGCTCAAATTTTACTCCACTGAGCCTAGACACCAAGTCGGAATCAGGGCAAAAATGTTAACACCTCTGGCCAAGCAACTGCAATTGCAATTCAACTTCAAAAAACAAACAAAAGTCTAGTAGGACTGCAGAGAAGGCAATGACTGATTCTCACTGGCAACGGAATGGTGTTGTTCAGACCTGAGGGCACTAACATTGGACAATCAAATAATAATAAAAAGATTTTTATAATTAAGAAATAAGTTATTCTTAACTCATAGTAATTCTTAATTCATAACTAAGATACTTACTAAAACATGAGTATCCTTTAACTTTAGAAGGTAGTGCTATCTTATCTCGTAGCAGTGTGTCAAATTCTATGATAATTTTGCTTAGAAAGGTCAGATGTTTTTGGAGATCTGAAGCATACGCTAGTCTCTCCAAGTGTAACTATCACACAGTCATACCAACCTGAACAACAAAGGCAAGGCTGCCTGCTAGAAGCAATGTGTGTGTGTAAGATATAAATAACCAGGCAGTATTATGCCCTGTTTACAAGTCTCTCATTTTGCATGGTTTCCACTTGTTTCAATGGTGTAAATATCTAAAGCAATGGTAAAAAAGCTAAACACAGAATGTTTCCTGAATACTCAAAATAACTTTCCACCTCGGGTTAATAGTATCTGGGTAACCGCTCCTGTTATTTGTTTTGATGTACTCTATGGCAGTTGTGAACATCTGAAGTAAAATGACTTTCAAGGAAACAGACAAGATCCCAGTTTCTAAGCAACTGATCTATGACAACTATGAGAAGTGAAACATCTCTGGCTTTACCTAGCAAGGGGCTACCTAACAGGTTTGGGGGAAATATATCAACAGCTCCAGTTGCATTAATTCATTTATTTCAACTACAAAAAATCTAAGGAAAACAGAACCTACAAAAGAATATGGAACATTAAGGTTACTGTCCACTAAAACGAAATCCTCCTCCTCCTCCTCAAGCTAGTAACCCTGTAATTAGGGAGATCATAAGGCAGGAAGGTAGGCTTTCTGATTTTAGTGTGGGGTCTTCCTGTAACAACTGTCACCTCCTGAAACTAGGCAGACCACGTACTTTCAAGCCCAGGGCCCTCATGCTGGAACTCCAGGAACAAGAAAAACACCCTAGAGAATCTCTGAGCCCTTCAAAAGCTCCTATCCACAAAGCTCATGGCATGTGGTGGTAAGTACCTACATGCCAATATAGGGCTACCCGGTGGATTTCAGCATTAGATGTGGCTACCTCGTTACTCATTCGTCATACCATTACAGAGCAATCTAAAATCCCAGATCACATGGCACCAGAGGTGAAAGGAACATCAGTGTGTCCTCTTTTTCTCATTAGAGTGCCTGAGCCAAGATGTCCCTGTCAGCATTTGCCCCAGCACCAGATCCCCATCCCTGCTGCAGTCAGAAGTCCTGAACACAGAATGTTATTACCATACAAATGACAAGTTCAAAGGTCCAGTCTCAAGACCGAAAACACACCAAAATCATTGGTCCTTATTTTAGCTTAAGACATACACACAATAAATCAAAATATTAAAATGATGTAATGCATTGCCCATCTACTAAATCTCTGAAGGATACTTTTCCTCTTAAAAGATTAAATTTAATATGGAACATTAAAATGACTGTTTACCTTTCCACATAAGTAAATGATACTGGTGTCGGGGTCATAGAAGGGCAGCAACACCCCATTGCTGGTGTCCATTTCATGAAGAGCGATTGGTTCCTGCATATTTTTCTGGGAAAAAAATACAAATATATATATATTTGTATACACACACATTTTTACAAGGTGAATCATTCTTTTATCCCTAATTATGTGAGCAATTTCCTAGAGTAATGAAAGGTTGAACAATGCACATATAATATTCATACATGTAAATACCAATTCATACACGTAAATACCAATTTTCTGAACCAATGAAAACTGTCAATTTGACAACCTCATCAATGTATACATCACTGTGATTCCATAACAGACAAAGATGAGACAGACAGCCCTTCCCCTTTGTGATTATTTTTTTTTAATTTATTTATTTAAAGTAGGCTCCACGCTCAATGCAGGGTTTGAACTCATGACCCTGAGATCAAGAGTCACACACTCTACTGACTGAGCCAGGCAGGCGCCCTATTTCCTTTTTAAAAAGAAATGTTTCTTATTGTAAATATACATTCTTTAAAGTTACAGAAAGACTATAAAAATCATCCCATATCCCATAATCCCACAGTCCAGTGGGTGGCAAAAACAATGACCGCTTTTGTCTACTTCCTTCCTTCCAACATACACACAAACACACACACACAGGTTGAGATCATACCATATATTCAGTTTTGTTATTTTTTTCACTTATGCTATTCTCAACATCTTCCTAAGCATGACTATTTTGATTTAAACATTTGATCATATTCTTTATAAAATAAAGTTCAGAACTTGTTTCCCAAGTCCTAAACACTAGCTTCTTTGTGCATTCTTTTTAAAAAACGTAGTCAACACAGACTACTTGAGAGTATCAAGAATGCATTTTTGTAATACATTTAAGCAATAAGTCTCCAGTGAGGGTAAGAACGTCACATCCAATTTAAGACCAGCAAGAGTTCAGAAAACTACACTAAGAATCCTTTAATACATTTACCCACCCAAAGACCTGCTCAGAAAAGAGAAAGCTCAAGTGTAAGCCAGTGGAAAGGCTGGGAAGGGGCGTACCGGATTCCAGAGAGCCAGCTGCCGCTCACTCATGCGGCTGAAACCAGTGGTAAAGACATTCCCATCAGCCAGAAAGATGGCTCTCATAGGTCTTGCTCCTTCATGTGCTTTCTCCTTTTCCTGGGGGACCAAGAATCATAGGCATATTATATTCAAACTACAATAAAGGTGGGGTGGGGTGGGAGAGTGGGGGCTCATACCTGAATCCAACCCATGCCCCCCATCCATTCAGATTACCAGACGTGCGTGTGTGTGTGTCTGTGTGTGTGTGTGTGTCTCCTCCCAAAATGAGAAAACAAAGAGACTGTGTAATTTGGCCAAGGTCCCTCAGCTATTTAGCAAGCAAGAATGCCAGGAGTTGACTCAAAAGCCTCAATCCTTTCACCATGCCCTGCTGCCAATCCAAGTCCATGATCTGCAAAAATAAAAAACATGAAAGGACTCTGCCAGATGTCTGTTTCTCAAGAGGATAACCTGAAGTTGGATATACTCTACGGTTTCTACCAAATTCATTGGACAGGAGGAAGTCTAGTTCAGTTAACCCCTTCCTTAATCTCATTTGTTCATTGAGAGTGCACTAGTTGTGAGCCCTGAAGGTTCTAGTGGAGAAAGCCCTCTGCGTAGGCACAGGCCACAGGCCCGGACAAGTCCCCAGTGCTCAATAGGCACTAGTCACGATCGCCACCCAACTCTTAAGAAGCAGACCTGCCGAAAAACCAGCACATCCCAGAGAGAGGCAAATGCAGGACCAGAGAGCGGGGCTGATGCAAGACACTCTGGGATCCAGCACCTGCCGTTTCAACCCCAGCTCAAGTCCCAAATGCCCATCTTCTGTCACAATGGGTGACCTGGTGAGGCCTTTGAGTGGCAGAAACTAAGACATGGAACTGAAGAGACAACCTGTGGCATCTCTGTGAGGTACTCTGATGATGGCTGCAGGAAGGGGCAGGGATCAATCCTCAGCACTAAGCCAGGAATGCAGTTAACAGTTTAGGTTAGCTGATCTAGACTTGCAAATTCTCAAGGACTCTAGTGAACTGATGAAAACTTCATTTCTTTGTGATAAATGGTCCCCAAGTGAGAGATAAGACTCGTGTAAATGCTGGAATGCACAACTCTGAAGAGTGTGGCTGGGAGGCAGAAGCCTGTACGAGGCTCTGCAGATTCACGGTCCAGCCTCTGGCGTCTGCACACAACGAGGCTCCACTGACCAGGGGCGAGCTCTACAGCCTGCCTTAACAAGCAAAGTTCACACTCACTGAAGTGCTACAAAGATGGGGCGTTTTGTCCTAAGCATACTTACAGCAACAATCTCTTGTTTCCTAGGATCGATTACTCTCACTTTCTTGTCTTTGGAAGCTGTACAGATCAGACTGCCATTCCGGTTCCAGCTTACATTGTAAATCATGTCTGAATGCATATCATCCAAGTTTATAAGGGCTTCTCCCGTCCCCACATTCCAGATGATGATGGCATTATCACAGCCTGAAAGCAAGCAAAGCCACGCCCCTCAGAGATTAGAAACACCTGTACAGCAACGCCTGAAAGCTACAAATACAGGGAGGAGACATACGCACAGAAAGAAAGACGCTGATTATAAGTGGCTCTATTTACTTGCTGGGAGTTAAAAACTCAAGTGACAAAGGAAAAAGACATCTGTATAAAAGAAATGTGTTAAAGGGAAAATATGGCTTGCTAAGTTTGGGTTCATATGAAACAAATGAAAAGCAATGACCAAAAAGAGCTCTAAGAAAATAAAATCCTATGTTTTTTGAGAGTTAACTGGGACTGGCAGACCCCATGTGATCTTAATCTTCCCTTTTCTAGTAAAACCAACATCAGAATGAATACAGTTTACTTCTTCTCCAGCAGAACTAAAAATGAAGTTTAAATAACTGTTTAGAACACTCAACAAAAATGTGGGACAGCAGGTTCTTCAAATCAATAATGCTGTAAAACATGGTCTTACATTAAAGCATGGTAAATCAAGTAAGCGGAAGGGAAACGCATGTGTGCTCAGAGCAGATCTTTACCTTTAAAAGGGGAGAAAAATAGGTCAAGACTGGGCTGATCTGAGAAGCCCAAACTGTAATCAAGTAGGATGTGGATTCAGAAGCTGATCCCAGAAGAGGCCACAATGCTGATGAAGCCGCATCCCTCTGCTCATTGACTCCACCTTCCTTCAAGCATTAGGCCCAAGGCCCCTTTATTTTATTTTTTTAAAGATTTATTTATTTTAGAGAGGGGGCGGGGAAGGGCAGAGGGGGAGAGAGAATCTCAAGAAGGCCCCCTGCTGAGTGTGGAGACTGATGAGGAACCCGATCCCAGGACCCTGAGATCATGACCTGAGCCAGAGGCAGACGCTCAACTGACTGAGCCCCCCAGGCGCCCCACCCAAGACTACTTTAAAAAGCAGGTGCCATTTGTTGCTTCCAGGACATTAGTTCAAGGATGAAGCAAAATAAGGGATGGATAACCTGAAGATAAAGTCTTGCCAATAAGCCAATTTTGCAAGCACTTCAAAAAAACTTAGCCACTGATATCCAGACACCTAAGTTGTCTAAGGGCTAGAAACAGGAGATTGGGAAAAAGGCCTGCACAACAGTAAAGCTGCACCTGAACCCTGGGGTGAGACCTGACCCTCCCTCTGCCTTGTGCACCACAGGCAAACACGTAACTTCAGCCACCATGGATGGACCACGTAGTCTGAAAATATGCACGACACTGCCATCAACCATTCTCCTTCTTTGCAGAAGGCAGAATGGGGATCAGTCAGCTGATGATGCCCTATGTCGGACCTCGATGACAAGGGGCAGCAGGAAAATTTCCATGATGGAATTCCACCTCTGGAACTGTTCTCTCCTTATCAGACTGAGTAGAACATCAGAAGGGTTCCCAAGTTTAGTCACTTGTGATTTTAACTAAAAGAGAGAATTTTATATAGCATCTTTTTTGAAAAGTAGTCCTTGGTTTCAACAGGTACTTGGTGTTAAGTTTTTTAATTTACCTTATTACATCATAAACACCCTCTATTCTTAGTTAAAAACTCAACTGCCCCCTTCCTTTTTACTGGTGAGGGGAAAGATCTTTAAAATCTTACTACTAAGTTTAGTATTCCTTTTTTTATAAATCAATTTTATTACGATATAATTTACATACAATCCAATGCACCTATTTTAAGTATACATCTGCTAAATTTTGACAAATGTATATATTCATGTAGCCATCATCACAATCAAGATATAGAACACTTCCACCACCCCATGAGGCTCCCTTGTGACCTTTGTATTGCTTCTATAAAAGATAAAATCTCAAACTGTAGACAGGACAAGATTTCTGTAGGATAACACTTAGAAACCACTCAAGTGGCAAGCCAAGAAGAACACTAAATCTTGGTTTGAGGGTTCACTGCAGTGCTGTTCAACAGTGTAAAAAAAAACCCCAGGAAACCTCAATGTCCCAAAATAGGGGCTTGATTAAATAAATGAAGGTATCCAGACAATGGACTATTAATGGCGGTATTAAAAATATCACAGGAATGGGGCACCTGGGTGGCTCAGTAGGTTAAGCATCTGCCTTCAGCTCAGGTCATGATGCCGGGGTTCTGGGGTCGAGCCCCGCATCAGACTCCCTGCTCAGTGGGGAGTCTGTTTCTTCCTCTGCCCCTCACCCTGCTCTCGTGCTCTCTCACTCTCTCTCAAATAAATAAAATCTTAAAAAAAAAAAAATCACAGGAATAACATTCAATGGCACATGGACAGGACCACAGTGCACCACTAAGCACAGACAGCAGGTCACATGTAATGTTTCTGAACCTATCTTTGTGGGTAAAATCATTTACGTATGTGCACAAAAGTTCTTCTGGAAAGAAACATCAATAATGATATTCCTTCTGAGTGGGTGGTAAGATTACAAATGATTTTATTTTCCCCTTTTGTTTATATATATTTTCTATAACATGCATGTACTCCTTACATAAGGAGAAAAATCCAAGTATCTTTTTCAAGGAAGGAGGAGATTTGCCTAACAGGATCACCCCAAAGCTGGCAACAACATTCAGAGGGGGAACCCAGGGCTCCTACCAGGGATCCTCCTGCTATCTCAGGAATAACTGAAACTGTGCTCCAGGAAGGGCCCCAGCAGGAGCCATGAGTCTGCTGGGATTCTAGGTAAGAACGTATCTGTTCCTTTCTCTAGGCAACAAGTCTTGAGTCAGACTGCCAAAGTGGACTTCACACATAGCCCTGTGCCTGTGGGCATAGGGGCTGGGGAGCCACCGTATCCCGGCCCCTCACCGTCAGTTCCCGGTGAGCTGCTTCAGATGCGCACTGCACACATGGAAACACACTGGCTACTGTGCCCTCCCCCAGTGCTGAGCTCCTACCTGCGCTAAGAAGTACATTGCGGGTAGTCGGATGCCAGGCCACGATGCCGACTCTCTTTGAGTGGCCTTCTAAAATCACCACTGGTTCGGTAAGGGAGAGAGTAAGTCCATTTTCTGGAATCTGCCATACCTGTTGGGAAAGGAAGCAAGAGGGACCATATGAGGGGTGACCTTTCATCGTCACATTTCCTGTGGCCATCCAGTTTGCTGACTTGCTCTGTATAAACAGAACACACACTGGCTTTTGGATGAAAGGCAGAATATTGTACAACGACTCTAAGCAGGTTCTTTAAAAATGGAGTAGGCTATTAAAGATCAGAACATCCGTCAGGCCTATAAAATGTTGCCTTTCCACTTTTACTTAATAGTTGAGATTTTATTTTAAAATTCCCTGTTAAGTTCAAAATCTCCAGTTAGAAGCACGCTAAAAATTAAAAAAAAAAAAAAATTCAAAGAAGAATAGGAAACACCTGAAACACCCGTGAGATGCAGCACTGGGGTGACAGCCCCCAACTGAATCCAGGGTTCTGGAGGGGAGAGCAAACTCCACCCACCAGGGCTCCGGGGGGATGGTGCCATATTTAAAACATCATGTTTCCATTTTACATTTGGAAAATAAAAATATACATAATAGTTCTGTAACATCTAGCATAGAAAAATCTTACCAAGAAAAAAAGATAAATCGGGCCTCATCAAAAATTAAAAACTTTGCCTTTCAAAGAACACAATCAAGATGGTGAAAAAGAATATATAAAGAACTCTTAACAAATCAGTAATAAAAGGAAAATAACCCAATTTTAAAAGTGGGCAAGGAATTTAAATAGAACACTTCTTCAAGAAAGATACATAGTTTTAAAAGGCACATGAAACATGCTCAATATTATTAGTCATTAGGGAAACGTAAATCTAAACCACAATAAAACATCAGTTCATACCCACTGGGAGGCTATAATCAAAAGACCGTGAGTGCTGGTGAAGATGGGGGGCAATCAGAGCCCCTACAGCACTGGTGGGGATGTAAAATGGTGCGGCCACTTCGGAAAAGTCTGGCAGTTCTCAAATGATTGAACACAGAGTTACTATATGGCCCAGCAACATCACTCCTAAGGTAACCCAAGAGAAATGAAAAGATATGTCCACACAAAAACTTGCACATGAATGTTCATAGCAGCATTATTCATAAACACCAAAATGTGGAAACAACCCAAATGTCCAGCAACTGAGAAACGGATAAACAAAATGTGATATATGTGTACAAGGGAATATTATTTGTCCACAAAAAGAATTTAAGTACTGATTCATGCTAAAACATGGATGAAGCTTGAAATATTATGCTAAGTAAAAAAAGCTAGTTCCAAAAGACCACATACTGCAGGATTCTGTGTATATGAAATGTCCAGAATAGAAAAATACATAGAGACAGAAAGTAGATTAGCGGTTGCTTAGTGCTAGGGACTTGGGGGCAGTGATAGCTAATGAATACATGGTTTCTTTTTGGGGCTGATGAAATGAGCTAAAATTGTCTTTGGTGGTGGTTTTACCTATCTGTGAATAAATTAAGACCATTAAATTGTACACTTTAAATGGGTGAACTGTATGTGAATTACAGCTCAGTGAAGCGGTCTTAAAAAATCCTCTTGACTGGTGAATACATACAGAAGATTCATCATATCTTAACTGGGGACATGCCTGGGTGGCAGAGGGGGATGGGGATGGGAAAAGCATTAGACGGAAGGGACAAGAGACTTTGACAGTGGAAGGCCTGAGTTTTAACAGGTTAAGAGACACCCTCTAAGAAGAAAGAACCAAGTCACCACTAAGCTGAGTAGCACGAAAACCCTGTAGAAAACCAGACATTAAGTAATATTTCAGTTTGTGAAAACGCTAAAGTTTAAAATAATTATCTTCTTACATGCGGAGATTAAAACACATTAAATGAGTTAATATATTTTAAATATTTGTAATACAAATATTTAAAATATATTAAACAATTCAAATGTATTAAGTAATATATTAAAATAAGTAAATTTACCACCAAAAAAGATTTTAAGGAACTAGTTCATGAAAAATTTAGAACTTGCCAGTGAAAAATCATGCTCAACAGTGGAACAAGTGAGAAACAGAATTTTCCTTTGTTGGGGATTTTTAAGGAGGAGACAAACAACTGTCTGTTTTCAACTGCTTAGTGGAAGGCAGAGATCTGGATTAGATGAGTGTTTAAGGTTCAGCTCAGTTCTGTTGTCCTGCAAAAAATTAGAAGAAAAAGTTTGCCATCCTGAAGAATGGGAAAAAGTCAAGAATTCAGTGATCATTCATTCTTACTAAGTTCTGCACGGGCTAACTATAACCCTGGTTATAGTATATACAACCCTATAACCTCTTACTAAATTCTGCCCAGGCTAATTATAACCCCTTACGCCAATCATGGCCAAACAAACGTGACTTCTGAGGGCCCAAGCTTAGGATGTCACCTGATTTCCCCTGAACCCTCATCACTGAGCAAATTTTAAACAATGCAGTTGTGAACAAGCAGAGACGGCACAAGAAAACCTACCTTGCCTCTCTGCACCAAACAGACTCTGAGCCGCCTCTCTTCCCTGGGGGCGTGGCTACCTGCTTAACACCCCCAGCATTATAGGTTTGCTTTCATCCGGATACACACTATTTTTAGTGAAGGGTTTATGATTAGTCAAACAGCTGCAAACTGAACTTAACTATCTGAATGTAGAGCAGGTCTTGGGTTTTTTTTAACAGAAGGAACGGAAAACTGATTGGATCGAAACCTCAAGTCACTGAGAAACAATTATGAAATGGGACTTCAGTGACTCAACAGGAAATGCATTTTCCAAGCTGAATTCTGACCCGGTCTTCAAAGTGGAGGAGCAGTAATGCCACCTGCCATCTCCAGATGGCACCACGACCACGGGTTGCTGGCTTCTCTTGCAAGGACTCTAACCACAATTAAATACTGTGTTTTCTAAATCCCTGATGAGGCGTGGAGTGATGGAAGGCTTTGTTTATAGTCAGCATTTCCAATCTTAAATATTGAGGGTGAAGCAGAGCCCATAACGGGACTTCACCTTTTCCTGTCTCTAGCTTCTCCCTCATCCATGTTTTCCTTGGATTGCAAGGAAATTTTAATGACGGAGCAAAATTTATTATGTAATTTTTAAAATGAGGAAACTCTCTTCCTTTTTTATCTCACCTTAGCAGATTCAATTGTTCCTAACCCATTTTACCACCTTGGTCACTCCTTCACACAACACATCTCTCGAGTAGCCTCTATAAGGCAGGCCCATTACCAGGAAAGAGGGGAAAGAGTGACTACACACAGAGTCTGCTGTCAAGCAGTTTACAGTCTAACAGAAAGCAGAGACTTCTAAGAGACCAAAAATCGAAGACAAGTGGTATGATGTAGAAGCGTGGGGCATGGGCTCCAGAGCCAAACAGAGCCCGCAGGGTTCAAATCCTGCCTGGGACACTTATAGCGATGGTCCTGGGCAAACAACTCGACATCACTGGGCACAGAGGAAACATGAGTACTTATACTTTCTAGGGCTGCTGTGGGAATTACATGAGTTTGTAAGTCCTCGAATAGTGCCTGGCATTCAGTCAATGCCCCCCCCCCAAATGCAGAGAGAGAACAGTACAGTGGTTAAGAACGTGGGCTCCAGAACTAGAACAGACTGCCCAATTCCTGATTCTGCCCCATATCAGCTGCATAACATTGGAGACAGTGACCTAAACTTTCTGGGCCTTAAGATTTCCTCATCTATAAAATGGGAATAGTAACGAATCTGCTTCCATTACAGGTTGTTTTAAGAAGTAATGTAGTAATAAGAGTCTAAAGTATTTAGAATAATGCCTGTCATAAGGCAGGCTCTTCCTAAGTGTTAGCCATTGTTAGTGCCTGTATAATGTGCCAGGAAACCACACAGCGTATGTAACCAAAGCTACGCTGGTATAAGGCAAGAGCTACACGAAAATGCAAGTGTCATGAAGTTACCGGTTTTTTTTTTTAAGATTTTATTTATTTGACAGAGAAACACACAGTGAGAGAGGGAACACAAGCAGGGGGAGTGGGAGAGGGAGAAGCAGGCTTCCCGCCAAGCCGGGAGCCCGATGTGGGGCTTGATCCCAGGACCCTGGGACCATGACCTGAGCCGAAGGCAGATGTTTAACGACTGAGCCACCCAGGCGCCCCATGAAGTTACCTTCTTGCTATCCAGTCTGGTGCATCCAGGAAGACTCTGAGCAGATAACCTCTAACAATGAACAGGAGTTAGGTGACAGGAAGAAGAGGAAAGAAGGAAAGAGTAACACAGACCCGAGGATTTACAGTGGGAGGTGCCAGTGACTGGAAAAGTCTGTGAAACTAAATGAAAAGATGATGGAACTCTTGCCTTTGCTGGTAAATAAAGGTGGTGGTGTTCTGCACTGTGGACTGTGGGAAAGGGCTGCAAGACCTGTCAACTTTTCCACATAAAGCAGGCATGCCGCTTGGCTGGTGCCCACTGGCCCTACTCACAGGCCCGTCATTATGTGGCTCTCTGCCCTTTGTAGGGTTGTCTGGGGCTTCCAGGCAATGGCCTTCCTGTTTGGACTCAAGAGGTTTTGCCTCCTGAAGCACAGGGACAACAAAGCAGAACCCCCACTTGGTAGAGCTTTAGTCTTCTTGTGCATAATCTGGGACACAGCCTGGTGTGGCAGAAAGGATGCTGGCCCGAATGCCAGAAGACACGGGCTCCTGACAGAGCTAGGACACTAACTGGCTGTGTTAACATTAAGAAGGGACTTCACTTCTGGGAGCTTCAGTTTCCTTGTTTGATACGGGGCCAGCATCAGCTCTACGTACAGGCGTTAAAGGACGCATCAAAAGAGCTAAAACTTTCTGCATACCTGAAGTACTCCCCTGATGTGAGATACTGCAAACAGGGTGACCTTTAGACAAACCAGTTATTGCCTGGGCTGGTGTTCTAAGCTGTAAAATGGGACACACTCTTGGCCTTACTGTGCTGTTATAATGATTAAATGTAATCATGTACATAAAGGGCTTAGAAAACACAGCTTGGCCAATAAAAAATGCTTACTATGTTCACGATTATTTTTCCTGCTGTTTACTATGACCCCGCATGTTTTTAGGTGTGAACACCAGGATTTCTTTCATGAGTGTGGTCTTCAAATTAATTCGGCACTGTACCCAACTATTTAATTCACATCCAAGACAGGATGTGTGAAAGCACTAGTACATGCCTGGACCAATCAGCACAAATGAGAACAGCTCTGATTTCTATGCAGGTCTATTAGCTTTTCTCTGTTCCATGTTTAGCCGCTAAAGCCACTACTCTAAACCAAATAGCTTTTTTTGGAAAAAAAATAAAAAAATAAAAAAGTCAGTGAGAAGAGAGGAAAACAGGCATCAACCATCCTCTGTTGTGCCCAGACTGAGCATCTCAGCACGGCAGGGATAACAAGCTCTCTCTCTCCTCTACTTGATTTTTTGCTTCGTTATGTTTTTTAAATAATACTGTGTATTCCTGAAATTTTCTATTTGGACTAGACATTGCTATGGCAATGTTTTGTTTAAAACAACAAAACAAAACACGTAATCAGTCCCAACGGCTTCCAGATGAAAAAGCGAATCAATCAGTAAAAACCCATCATGGTTCTGGAAAAAAAATAACTTGAAGCACATCTTCAGGAACTAATGTATCATTGGAATCCTTTTCAACATGTGAAATTCTGAAAATGGAAAAAGGACAGCTCGAGAGAACAGTTCTAGTAAGAAAAAAGCGATGAACGGGGCACCTGGCTGGTTCATTCAGTAGAGCATGACACTCTTGATCTCACCACACTGGGTGTACAGATTACTTAAAAATAAAAGAAAGAAAAAAGTGATGAAAATTAAGAAACTTGGGTTTCTCTTGAAGAGCAATTTTGAAGTGCAATTCATTGATGGTTTTGTTTCTCAAACACAGTGCAAATTTAAAGCACACACAAAGCGTTTCCAGACACTGCTTCCCAACTTTAATCACCCCTCTTGAACTTGCTACTGATCTAGACACCAGAGTTACAGCCATAAAAAGGGCTATTCTCCCCAAAGGCCCTATTTCTTAAATGCTAAGGAGACCAATTCCAAAGGGAAAATGAAGAAAAGAGATGATCTTTTTTTTTATTGTTATGTTAATCACCATATATTACATCATTAGTTTTTGATGCAGTGTTCCATGATTCATTGTTTGTTCATAACACCCAGTGCACCATGCAAAACGTGCCCTCCTCAATACCCATCACCAGGCTAACCCATCCCCCCACCCCCCTACCCTCTAGAACCCTCAGTTTGTTTTTCAGAGTCCATCATCTCTCATGGCTCGTCTCCCCCTCTGACATACTCCCCTTTTCTTCCTCTCCTGTTATCTTCTTCTTTTCCGAAAAGAGATGATCTTAAGAGACAAGCAGAGGCTTACAGACTCTGTAGCAGCCGCAGAGCAGCAGAATCCCCTACAGAAACGGCCTAAATGAACCAGGCTGTTGAGAACATTAGTTTTGGGAAAATCAAGAACTGAAAGCTCATTTCTGATGTGCCCAGGTTATAATAACCACTGGCAAACGGCCCGGATGTAATCTGCACAAAATGGAAATAACATGAAGACCTGCAGAATGACTGAGGAATTCACTCTCATCACCAACTACAACATCACTTCCATTTTTATTTCAAGGCAAAAACTGTATTAAGAAAATCTGTCACAGAAGCAACGATGTGCAAAATAGGGAGTTTACTTCTGTTGACTTCTAGTGTAAGACTGATCTGGGAGAAGGGAAAAGTGTCCATTTGAACTTCATTTGGGATGGCTCAGAACATCTAGCCGGAGACAAGTAAAACAAATACTCTGTTTCCAAGATCTTTCCCTCTCCCAGATCCTGGAAGAAACAATGACTGCAACTCACTGTTTGAATCGGCCATTTCTTACATTTGTGTTTGTTTACTCCCTGCAGATAAGGAACAAACAATGGTGAGTCAACATCATTCACTAAACTTAACTTGGCTGCTCTTTGTATTATTTAAAACAGTAATATTTTCTTGGGGATAACTTTTCCCAAGTCAAATACTTAGTAGCCACAATCTTTAAAACTCTCTACAAGAAGATATTGTTGGAGAAAAGAACTCACGGTACGAAAAGTCTGGAAAACCTAGAAGCAAGAGCATAATTTCTCGGAGGAGGATTTATATAATTGCTTTCTGCAAGTATAGTCACTGCTTCAAAAAGTAATACATTAAAGGTAAGCTACACCAATATAATTTACTTTCAGACTGCTTAAAGAAGTCATCTGTATGAATGATAAGGAAGATGTGATACACACACACACACACACACACACACACACACACAGGAATATAATGCAGCCTTCAAAAAATGAAATCTTGCCATTTGCAACGACGTGGATGGAACTGGAGGGTATTATGCTAAGTGAAATAAGTCAATCAGAGAAAGACAACTATCATATGATCTCGCTGATATGTGGAATGTGAGAAAAGGGCAGAGGATCACAGGGGAAAAGAGGAAAAAATGAAACAAGACAAAACCAGAGAGGGAGACAAACCATAAGAGACTCTTAATCTGAGGAAACAAACAGGGTTGCTGGAGGGGGTGGTGGTGGGAGGGATGGGGTGGCCGGGTGATGGACACTGGGGAGGGTATGTGCTATGGTGAGCGCTGTGAATTGTGTAAGACTGATGAATCACAGACCTGTATCCCTGAAACAAATAACACATATGTTAATAAAAAGAATTAATTTACTTAGAAAATCTTAGTCTACTGTATAGCGCTGTCTGCTGTTCTTATAACAAGAAATATAGCTAATTTTTTTCCCACAAATTAAAAAAAAAATAAAGTCATCCATAAAAGACGAAGGAATGTACCATTAGCCTGAACCTACAATCAAAAGGACATCCTGTCACTGAAACTTGCAAAATTAACAAATCAATGCTTAAATGCTTAGGACTTAATGGAATTAGAACTATAAATACAAGTTTTAAAAATAAATTTAGGGGCGCCTGGGTTGTTGCTGAGTGTCCGACTTGATTTCGGCTCAGGGTTGTGTGATGGAGCCCTTGCAACAGGCTCTCAGCTACGCATGGAGCCTACTTAAGATTCTGTTCCTCTGCCCCTCCTCGCTACACACCCCCCACCCCGCCCCCCCGCCCTGCAGCATGCATGTGCTCTAAAAAATAAAAAAAAAGTTCTTTATTTAATTCTTTTACAGTTCATTTGACAAAGTGGTTCTATTGTATTTTTTTTTTTACTGAGTATTTGCTAAAGATATTCTTACTGCTATGAAATCACTGTAGGTACAGTGTAAAAAATACTAACTCGTTTTATATTTATAGCTTCCTTCCTGTTGTTATTCTTCTTCTTATTATTATTTTACCTGTAAGGCAACTGAGGTTGAGGGCATGTAAGCGGCCTACACACGCTCCAAATCCCCATCTTGGGCTTTTCTCGGGATTCTTCTCCTACTAGAATGATGCCTTGTTACACTACCTACTATTTGTAGCTCCTGGGTTACTACCAATAGCCTAGGCTTGGGGAACTACTGAAAGCATTTTTGCTTTAAAAACAAAATGGTATTGGGGCACCTGGCTGGCTCCATCAATAAAGTGGGTGGCCCCTGATCTCAGGGTCATGAATTTGAGCCCCACAGTGGGCATAGAGATTACTTAAAAAATCATCATCATAATAATAAAAATTTTAAAAAATGGTGTTGTGTTTGAAACAAATAGGTCTATCATACAGTGTACTTTTACTTTCAGGAGAGCAAAGAAGAAAATGAGGTATTGAGAAGGTAGGGTAGGAAAAATCAACTATTTTTTTAAAATTTCATTTCAACTGCTAAGCTATAAAAGCTTCTTGTAATTGCTCCAGTAACAATAACAAATGATTTGGGGGATATTAAACAATTAAAATATCAGTGCCATACTTAAGGGCTTAAAAAAACAAACTAGGAGGAGGATTTATCTCAAAGCATTATTTAATTTACAAAATGTTCACTCTAGCAATACCAATAAAAGGGAATAGAAGATTCTGGAAGGATGGTGGCGTCAGTGGCAAGCACAGTTTTGGGATCTTCTCAAGTCTCTCTGTACAAACACAGAGCAAACAGATAACAAAACAAAAACCCAGAACTAGGTGATAACCCCCAAATGCAAGTGGGAGGAAGAAAACCACCAATAGCCGTATGACCTGTGTGTTATGGGTCTCTTGTGTGGAAAAATCATGGGGCAGCAATGGGGTGCTTCACAAACCTGAGAGTAACAGTGGAAGCAGTGAAGAGAGTTACAGCCATAAAAAGGGCTATCACCCACAAAGGCCCTATTTTTTAAGTGCTAAGGAAGCCAAGCATGAGAGAAGTGAGAGAGAAGCAGTGGAAACTGGGAAGGGTTTTGCCCCCTCCAACAGCAGGCGGGGACAGGGACCTGAAATACAAAGGTCTGAAGGGGCTGGAGCAGTCGAGACCCCATACTCTAGAAGTGAACCAGAAAGGGCTCCTTTCTGAGACAGGACCCACAATAAAGAGAAATTCCAAGGACTGGAATCAAATCTGAGAAGGGCAGAAATAAGAGGGACAAAGGAATGAGAAAGGCCAAATAAAAGCAGGCCAGGAAGTCTCAGAAAGCAAGCCACCACGTTTCTGAACACTACCTGAAAAGGACAGAAGGGGGAGCTCTGTGAAGTTAGATTGGCTATATGAACTGAGCCATCTTCAGGACAACGCATATAAAAATAAGAAAAAAAAGCCAAGGCCCCCCAAATTACTATAAGAAACAAAGAGAACAGGCATAGAATAGTGTCCTATAGACAACAGAAGAATGCTAAGAAGGTGTGCTCAACTAGAAAAACAATCACTATTTCAAAACAAAACAAAATAAAATCAGAACTTGAAAAACTCAAAAGGTAGCAAAAATTTTTTGAAATTAGAAACAAAAGAAAATTCACTTTAGAAGTGAAGACTAACCAAGAAAGAACACATTGTCAAAAACATAATAATGCCCCCAAAGGAATAAAAGGTAAAAGGCAGAAAAAAGATTAAAGTTCTGAAGCTAATGTAACAAACATGATGTGTCAACTATATTTCAATTAATTTTTTTTTTAGGGGCATCTGGGTGGTTTTGAGTGTCTGCCTCCAGCTCAGGTCATGGTCTCAGGGTCCTGGGATCGAGCCCCACATTGGCCTCCCTGCTCAGCAGGGTGTCTACTTCTGTCACTCTCCCTCTCTGCTCTCTCTCTCAAATAAATAAAAAGTAAAATCTTAAAAAAAATTTTTAATTAAAAAATAAAATGAACAACAACAACAAAAAGTTGGGAGAGAAACTGACCAATATTGAAGATAGGTAAAGAAGACAAAGCATATGGATTAACAGGAGGAGTCCCTGAAGAAGAAAACCAAGGCAAAAAAAAAAGAACAGATACTAAGAAATGTAACTGAGAAAACATTCCTGGGAGGGAGAAAAAAGTCCTGAAACCCTATACTGAAGGAACATACCACCAGCCTAGGAATTCCAAGTCAGAATAACCAACAATATTCTAGCAAGATTACTGTATTCTAAGAAAAAAAAAATCTTATGAACATCTAGGCGAAAAGAACATATGGTTTATAAAGGAGAGAGAACTAAATTATCTGGATTTTTTTTTTGACAGCAACACTTTATGCCAAAACAAAATGGAATAATATATTTAGATACCTGAGGAAAAACTGTGAGCCAAGGATTTCATATTCAGAAAAACTCACCTTCGAACCTGTAAAGGTCACAGACGAGCTACTATCTATATAGAAGAACCTAAAAAGTACTGTTCCCATGAGCCTTTTCTATTTGATTCCATTCTTTGCAATCTCTCCTCAATGTGGGGCCTGTCCCAGAAGGAAGCACTCTCTGGTTGGGTTCTAGCGTACTAGGGTCTACAATCTACTAGGGAAGGAGCTTTAGAGGATCCAAATGACTAGACAGAGGTGGATGTAAGGACCTATGGAGAGCACTAAATATAGTGACTTACAGAACTAAGGAGAGGCTGTTAAATGTAATGGCTATGTCATCTTGGAATTACAGAGTATATCATTTTTAAAGAGGGAGAACAGAGATAGCACAGATTAAAAAGTTGTGGCTTTTTAAAACTATTTTTTAGTAATCATCAACTAGTGCTCATAATAGTATTTTTGCTCTGAGTCTGTCACATCTATAATATGATAAAGCATGTGAGATCAGGGCTCTCTAATTCACCCTCTGAGTCCTTGAGAACCTGGATTCTCAGTGCAGAAGAAGAGAGATAAAGCTGCAATATTCAAGAGCTTAGGTTAAAACTAGATAGTCCAGAATTTGAACAAGGAATATTAAGATGAAGTCACAAGGTATTTTATTTTTAAATATATATGTAAACTCTAGCCCCATTTACTGCAAAGTCTTAAAAAAAAAAAAAAAAAAAAAGATCACCAAAGGGGTGCCTGGGTGGCTCAGTCGATTAAGGGTCTGCCTTCAGCTCAGGTCATGATTCCGGAGTCCTGGGATCGAGTCCCACATCGGGCTCCCTGCTCAGCGGAGAGCCTGCTTCTCCCTCTCCCTATGCCCCTCCCCCTACTCGTGCTTTCTCTCACTCACTCTCTCAAATAAAATCTTTAAAAACAAATGATCACCATGGTAACAATGAGCATTCCTAGCATCCAAACTGATCTAGAAATTCCATTTTCCATTAAAAGAAGCCAGAGCTTCTGGGAGAAATGGCTGATATGAAGTGTGGGTGAAGAGATGTCCAAGATGAGCCTGAACACCTTAACATACCAAATAGCAGGGAAGTTACCAGAAACGAGGGTTTGTCAAAAGAACTCAGGAGGGGCGCCTGGGTGGCCCAGTCGTTAATCGTCTGCCTTCGGCTCAGGTCATGATCCCAGGGTCCTGGGATCGAGCCCCGCATCGGGCTCCCTGCTCCGCGGGAAAGCCTGCTTCTCCCTCTCCCACTCCCCCCGCTTGTGTTCCCTCTCTCGCTGTCTCTCTCTCTGTCAAATAAATAAATAAAATCTTTAAAAAAAAAAAAAAAAAGAACTCAGGAAACTCGAAGAAGTTCCCATTAACAAAGACTGGACGACCTGAGCTTTGAGGTAAGAACTGTAATGAATCAAAACCCATGAAATACGTTCAAATCCATGAGCTCAAAATGAAATGAAAATGGGGGTGGGGGTGGGGAGAACTAGTTAACTGGTCATCTTCTGAGAAAGACAGAACCAATTCATTATCTTGAAAACTGGGTAAATAAAAGTTAAGAATCAATCATCTATCCTACTTTCCTATATGAACAGTACTACTGGGCAACCAAATAGTAGATAAGAGGGGGCATCACCTTACAATTTTTACCAGCTAAAAACTGACAACACAATAACAGAATTTAACATTACCATTTTGTGACCCCTAAGGATTTGTGGGATCTGAGTGGTGAGCATCGAGAGCTGCACAAATCAAAAAAGAACGAAGACCAGACATCTCGGTACCATGGGCCTCTTGATGGAAGAACGTAACACTAGCTATAGTCTTGCTGAAAGGATTGAACCTGAATCTGATCACACTTCAGGATCCAGCTGCCAGTTTGTGGGGAGTTCAGAGGACAGAGGAGCATGTTGAACTGCACTATTAGCGTGCAATCACCAAAAACTAGATGCGGGTCAAAGGTCAGGCTTCCACATCAGATTCATTGTTAAGGACAAGAAAACAATGGAGGAGGAACCTACAGATTACAAAAGATTTACAAGACATATCAAGTTCTTTAAGCTAGCAAGACTAAGCCATAGTGTCTAGAAAGGCATGCTGGGGTGACTAAAACCATGAAGAATAGCAAGGAAGGAAGTATTCGAAGAGTGGGAGTAGTGATTACTTTAGGAGGGTGGGAGGGGTTATGACAGGGATGCAGCACATGTAAGTGTCTGGGAAGGCTGGCTAAGTTCTATTTCCTGACCTGGGTGGTGGTTAGAGGGTATTCCCTTCACTGAACTTCCTTCCCTGTTTAGCATGTTTTATAATTTAAAAAGGGTGTTTTTAGATGAATCAAACCTACTTCTTCAGGAAAAGTTAAGTCTCAGTTTAAGATTTTGGCATCAGTGGTCTAAATAATGTTCCTTTCCCTTAGTAAAATGTGTCTGCCGCCATGAAAATGATCAATTTAGCCAGGTACACTAAGTGGAACAACTCCTTTTAACAGCAGCATATTTCATTATAATCTGACTTGGCTGCCAAAATTATGAGATCACAGGAGGAGTTATCCTCAGCCAAAAGTCCACGAGGAAAAATGGGTAAATGTTTAACTGACACAGTGAGGAATTAATTTGTGTTTATGTAAAATAATTTTAATTAATAAAACTTTCCAGACAATGTTTCTAAGTCTGGCTCAGTCCAGAGAAAATAAGGAGGGTAATAGCAGTAGTGTGGGTCTCCAAGCTCTGCACCGGACATGCACGAGACTGCCTGCAACTGACCAAGGGAGCACCTTCACTTCTTTCTGCTCTCAGTGCATTACTCCCCATCTGTACTTACGGTAGTCTTTCAACATATTTTGGGCTAGGATTAAGAATTGATCCAAACTAGTAATTACATTTTAAGGCTAAGAAGAACATAATCAAGAATAAGAAGCTTTACATTAAAAAGTATCCCAAAGCCTGGTTTCACACATAATCTACTTTTGGAATCTAAATAAGGGAACGTAAAGAACTTAAATATCTTTCATGTTGTTTGTGTAGCTTCATAAAAAAGACTTTCTTGGGTTCGACTAGACAGAACATACCTTCTGATCTTAGCTTGGAAATAAGCACCTTACTTATCGCAAAACTTTACTATTTCCCAATATCTGTTACATATCCCATTTTTTATGTATAACCTTTGGCATTTTCTATGTATAACCTTCCACTATAATACGCCATTCATGCTAGAAGTTTTTTCTCTCCTTTTGAGGGAGGGAGAGGACTTGTGAATCAATGGCATTCACAGAATGCCACAGAGCAGATGTGACAACTGTCAGTAAGCATGCACACATGCACACCCATACAAAAGAAGAAGAAAGACAATACAGTACAAGGTCTCTGATATAAAGGCTTACAAGAGGCTCATCTATAGATACGCGTTCATGTCACTCAATCAGTGTATAATCTGATGGACAATCGAAACTGCTCTGACTTTCTGCTTTTCAAGCCCCTGCACACACACTCTTTTTAGGAGCAGTAGGTGGGTCTCACTGGCCTGGGTGCATGCCACACCCTGGGAGCTTACCATAACCGTGCAGTCCTCTGAGCCACTGGCAATGACCTGATCATTATGTGGGCACCAGTCTATGTCAAGCACTGGTCCTGTGTGGCCACATACTGTAGGGTAGGATTTGTCGATTCGACCAGTCTGAAAGAAGAGAGAAACAAATCTCCTATAAGTAACACCAACACCACAGAGTTTGTGTGTTTTCTCAAACCCATTTTTCTTTTGTTACCTCCACCCCAAACTCTCCAGTGTCTACATATGATGACATTCACATCGGTCAGTGTCAACTAGTAGGAACTGTCAACTTGCATTTCTAGAAATAGCTACTGCCAAGGACACTCTCCGCCAAATTAAAAGGATCCAAATTTCTAGAAGCACAAAGGTTTTATTTAATCAACTGGGTTAATAGACACAGCAAACGAAAATACAAAATCTTTTCACCAAAATACAATTTGTAAATTATAAGTGTGTTTTTACTATTAAAAAAACCCTTGGTATTATTTTAAATGTTAAATATAACTTTTAATATAATTAACTAATACCCTTGAATATAACAAATTACCAGTTCTGGAAATGAATGGCATTGTGAGCACACTAAGTTAGGATAATAAAAAGAAATGCTTTAGCTATTGCTCACAGGCTAAAGGACATACTTTATTTTAATGTCTTAGTCTCTTCACTATCTTCAAATCAACACAAGAGCCAGCCAGATCATCTAATTAACACCAGCTTGGATCTCACCCATTATCTGGTCCACATCTCATTAAGAATACAATTATCAATACTGGGTAAGTAGCCATCATAATATGCTCATGTTATACACTTGAATCTAACAAGTCAATCTGGCTTATCAAGCCAATTTTGTTTAACCAAGACAAATGCTTTTGTTAACAAGTATATAAAGGCTATTTCCTTTTTTAAGCAGGTTAATGCCAGTCCATGCTGAGGTCCTATATGCTCTAAAAGCAGGCATACAAAAAGGAATCACTGCCAAGCAAAACTGAACCTATTTTTTGTTGTTGTTTTTCTCCTGTTATGGCAAGTCATCACAACATTGAGGCAAGGCTTCTCGGAAATTTTTCAAGATCAAGAAATTCTATGATTTCTCCACTTTCACTCAACTGTGGAAATCTCCAGAGAAGCAGTACGCTACACGCAAAGACCACAGTATCCAGTCAGACAGATTGGGTTCAAATCCAGGCTCTATTGTTTCAACAGCAGACGACCTTAGGCAACTCATATAATCTCTCTGAGCTTCATCTTATCACCTGTGAAATGAGTAACAAGAATACTTATCTCCCAAGATTACTGTTAGGATTAGATGAAATAAAGTTTTTTGGCAAACCATAACTTAGTATTACAATTATCTGTGTAAGGTATGTAAAAAATTTAATTTCAGTTGTACCTCAGAGATATTGAAGTTCTGGTCCATATCACTGCAATTAAAGCAAGTCAAATGACGTTTTTGATTTCCCAGGGCACATAAAAGTTATATTTACACCATACTGTAACCTATGAAGCATGGGATAGCATTATGTCTAAAAAAAATACAATAGATAGACCTTAATTAAAAAGTACTTTATTGCTAAAGAACACTAACCACTAACCATCATCAAACCATCTAACAAACAGTTATGAAAATATCTGGGGGCGCCTGGGTGGCTCAGTCGTTAAGCGTCTGCCTTCTGCTCAGGTCATGATCCCAGGGTCCTGGGATCGAGCCCTGCATCAGGCTCCCTGCTCTGCAGGAAGCCTGCTTCTCCCTCTCCCACTTCCCCTGCTTGTGTTCCCTCTCTCGCTGTGTCTCTCTCTGTCAAATAAATAAATAAAACCTTAAAAAAAAAAAAAAAAGAAAAAGTCTGAAGTATTCCAAGAATAACCAAAGTGTGACAAAGAGACATGAAGTGAGCAAATACTATTGGGAAAATGGCATCGACAGACTTGCTCCACACAGGATTGCCACAGACCTTCAGTTTGTAAAAAAACAAAAAAACAAACAAAAAAACACATAGTACATGAGAAGTGCAGTAAATGAGGTAAGCCTGGATAGTGCTTAGAATATAGTAAATACTAAATAAAAAACGACTGTCACTTATTATTAGTTTTATATATATATATATTAATTTACTCCATCATTAAGAACTACAAATATGTGTCCTTTATGAACTTTCAGGGGCCAGACACTGTGCTGAGTACCAGAGATACAAAAGTAAACAGGGCAGCTCCATCCTGGCTGAACGTGGAGTCCAATTAAACCACCAATTCCAGCGCAGCATGAGACACGCTCCACCAGGACAGGCACGGGTGGCAGGGACACAGAGGGGGACATTCAACCAGGCCTGTGGGGGTCACAGGTCAAGAATTCTAAACTGAGGTGTGGAGATGGCCCTGTCCACAGACCTAAAGCCTGGGTTTTTCACATGCTCATTTCCCCTTGCAAATCGGATTCAACCCCTTTTGGATCTCCAGAATTGCATAACCAAAAAAGGAATCCTAGAAGAAAATGCCAACAAACACATCATATAGCATGCAGGTGTTTGTTATGAGGACAGGCCCTATGGGTCATTTACAGGCAGCAAAGCACAAGGGGCTGGGAACCAGACTGCCTGGGTTGGCGGCGTGGCTCCATCCTTTTCCAGGCTCTGAGGCCCTGGCCAAATGACTTCATCTTCCAACGTCATTTCCTCATTCGTAGAATGAGAATGTTACAACTCCTTCTGTAAGAGCTGATGTGAGGATTAACTGGAGACAATCAAAGTAAAGGACTTGGTACTACTTTCCCAGCACCTGAAGGGCGCAATAAACGTTACCGCAAATTAAACTGCTGGAATCCACTCTATCATATCCCTGATTGCGTCTTTCCTTAAAGAAGCAACTGCTACTAAACACCTTAGCCAGGTGGTTCTCCCTAGCCCCCTCCCTGCATCCTCACAGAAACCATGTGAGTAACCCAGCCTTGAAGCTACTGCCTGCCACCCCCTGACATTCTACTGCTAAAGCAGGTGGTAATGGAACTCACAGGTGTCCATTTTATTTGAAATATAGAATACGAAATTATAACATGAACATTACATTAAATCTACCAGCTAAAAGAGAGCATGTCTTAGATTAGATTAAAACCAGCTACAAGACATGTTTAAAAAATAATACAGCAATTAAACTGAAAACTAAAAAGGTCACTAAAAGGAGGGGAAGGGTATAAAAATATGTACCAGCCAGCTATGCTAGAACAAACTGACTTTAAGGTGTGACGCATTATTAAAGATTAATGTCACTACTTAACATTTAAACAATTCACTGGGATACTACAGTCACTATGAACTTTAACTCATCTAACGACATAGATTCAAACTAATTATAGCAAAAGCTGACAGAACCAGGAAGAGAAAATGACAAAGCCATAATCTTAGAAGATGTTAACAACGACTTACTCTCAAGCAAACAGACAAAAATTAGCATGAATATAGAAGACTCTAGCAAGTAACAAGCTTGATCTAATGGATGTATCCGGCCTTGGAGCCAATGTTTTAAAATAAACATTTTTTTTTCAAGCACACATTAAACATTACCTCTTTAAAATGACCAATTAGAGGATACCACAAAGCAAATCTCACAAAATACCAAAGAATCAATATCCTGTGGCCCATTTTCAGAGTATAATGCAATTCAATTAAAAATTAACAGAAAAATGTATAAACCCAAAATCCCCAAGGCATCAGAAAAAAAAATTTTTATTTAATTAATTAATTTATTTTTTGACAGAGAGAGAGACAGCGAGAGAGGGAACACAAACAGGGGGAATGCGAGAGGGAGAAGCAGGCTTCCTGCCAAGCAGGGAGCTCGACGCGGGGCTCGATCCCAGGACCCCAGGATCATGACCCAAGCCAAAGACAGACACCCAACAACTGAGCCACCCAGGCGCCCCTGAAAAAATATTAAATTTACTAAATTCTTCACACACAAAATTATAATGGCCAACAGAAAAAGGTTAAAACTGATCAATAAACACATGACATTTCACAATTCATGGGACAGAGCTAAAACAGATCTCCTTAATGGAAAATCAGTAGCCTTAAACGCATATATACAAAAGGTCTGAAAATTAAGGAGCTAAGCATGTAATGAAAAGTTAGAACATACACAGAGCACACCCAAAAATGTAAAATTATGAGAAGAAATTAACAAGAAATAAAATAAATAAGCCAGATTGACACAATAGAATAGGAAAAGAGAACACAAATACCAGGAATTTAAAAAGGGACATAACTTACAAATATGGTGTAAATTTACATGACACAAAAATACTAGGAATAACATCTGAAAACACTAAATGAGATAGGCAATCTCCTAGGCAAAAAAAAATATTGTAGCAAAACTTTTTCAATAAATAAAAAACCTGAATAGACCCATAACCATAAAAGAACCAGCAACAAAAGTCCACATATTATCCACCTCCCCATCAATCATGTAACACCAAAAGCCACTAGGCCCAGACGGTTTTACTGGAGAGCTTTACAAAACACTCAAGGAAGAGATCATCTCAGACAAAACTTCCCAGAGAACAGAAAAGAGGAGCACCACTGAACTCATTACGTAAGGAAATGTACCACCCTGACACAAAGGACGGTATAAGAAAGAAAAATTGAAGCCCATATGACAAATACTGATGCAAACTCCCCTCAAAAACAACAACAACTAAACCAAACTCAGCAGTGTGTGTTGTTCTCAAAAAACATGAGCAAGAGTGGAAAGACAAGTTGCAGACAGAGAAAATATATATGCAACATCCATACCAAAGCCAACAAACAACCTAACAGAATAATGGCAAATGGTATTGAGCACAGAATTCCCAGGGAAGGAAACCTGAACAGCATATAGATGTAAGGAAAGATACTGCTCTCCCTGGTAATCAGGGAGCTACAGATTAAAATAAGGTAACATTTTACACCTATTAAAATTGGCAACAATTTAGAAGTCTAAATACAAGTGTTGCCAAGGATGTCAGGAAAGAGGAACTCAAAAACACCTGGAGATTTTCCTGCTACAGTACTTTTTGAGAGCAATCTGGAAACAGGTGGAAGTGAAGATGCCCACCACTGAGCAATACCACGTGGCACTGGGTGGTCTGTGGGAGAGAAAGGTTCCCATGTTTGATACAGAAAGGACATTAAGGGCAGCATCATTGGGAATAGTGAAAAAAAGCAGAAGCAATTTAACTGTCCTTGGTATGGAAATAAATGTCACTTATGTAAAAGTTTAACACATATAAAATAACCTATATATAGATACACATGTAATAAAAGTACACATCCCACCTCTGAGGAAATGGATACCTCTGGAGAAGAGGAGGAAAGAAGAATGGAATTTTAGCTACATCTGTTATGCTTTATTGTTTTTCAAAAACAGGAGATATGAAACGAACAGGGCAAAATATTAACATCTGTTTAATCTTGTGGGTGAGAACATGAGTGTTCTATTATTTTTCCTATCTTTTAAAAAATAATTAAAATATAATAAAGTTGAGAAACACACCAATGTATTGTTATTCCCCACCACCACCACCACAACCACCACCACCACCACCACCAATGTACTGTTATTAATTTTACATTAAAAGATCTTTACTTCCTAGGAAAAAATGTTTTTCTATCTGAACTGTTTTATCTCAGAGTCTTTGCATCCTTACGCTCTCCCCAGCAAACCACGTCTGGCATCTCTGATGGCAAAGTATAGTCACTAAACTCTGAATTTCCAAGGACACAAAATAATTTTTTCCAATCTGGGTTAAGAAGAGCTTTTGCTCAGATACACAAAAATTTTGAGGGCAATTTGGAAGTACTAATACAAGTTGTTCTTAATTCTACTGAGAAGTTTACTAAATGACTTCCTTTTTAAGGTAAAAATTATACAATTCTGGCAAAAAGATATTGGCCAGTATTGTTCAGTCAAGTCAGACATTTAAGAATAGGAGTAAGCGGGGCGCCTGGGTGGCTCAGTTGGTTAAGCGACTGCCTTCGGCTCAGGTCATGATCCTGGAGTCCCGGGATCGAGTCCCACATCGGGCTCCCTGCTCAGCAGGGAGTCTGCTTCTCCCTCTGACCCTCTTCCCTCTCTGTCTCTCATTCTCTCTCTCTCTCTCTCTCTCTTAAATAAATAAATAAATAAATAAATAAATAAATAAAACCTTAAAAAAAAAAAAAAAAAAAAGAATAGGAGTAAGCCTAGCTGCTGTTCTCAGCTTCGTGCTGACAAGTCCATAGCATCAAAGCACTAAAGAGCCTAATGTTTTCATAGGAACTTGAATGTCATTTAAAGAGCAACTGCCGCCAACTGCCCATCTTCCTATCAAAAACAAGTAATAGTAAAAACAGCTAACACTTGGGGTGCCTGGGTGGCACAGTTGCGTAAGCGTCCGACTCTTCGTTTAGGCTCAGGTCATGATCTCAGTGTCGTGAGATCAAGCTGAGTCAGGCTCCGTGTTCAGCGTGGAGTCTGCCTGTCCCTCTCCCTCTGCTCCAACCTCCCCACTCCCTGCTGCGTGCATGCTCTCGCTCTAAAATAAATAAGCAAATAAATTAATTTTTTTAAAAAGTAGCTAACACTTTCAAAAATCTTCTATTTCATGCGAGGAACTGTATGAAGACCTTTAGATCTTCATTGTCACAAAGCTGCTTTATGACATAGCTTATTATCCCCATCTTCTAAATAAAGAAATGGAGTGAAGAAGCAGAGATCTAAAACATCACTGACCATCCAGCCATACTAGATTTCCATAGGGAAAGAAAATTCCCACTAGGCCACGGGTTGTGAAAAGGGCATGAAAGTAATGTTAAAATTATTGGCAGCTGGTCATCAGAAACAAGAGTTAATAAAAAATGATATCCTGCCAACAGCTGTTTCCTCTGGTTGTAACATCATCACAAATCCTTACAACAAATAAAACGGGAAAGTACCATCATGTTGCAGCAGAACAAAAAGGGAATCGACTAAATGTCTGATAGTGATAGAGGAACAAAAAGGGAAGAAGTGCGAGAAGAACTGGCATTTTAAATGCACACTGACTGTTTTACATACAGGATGCTCACCACACACAATCCAGGGTCAGCTATCTCGATTTCAAGGGCTTATATCCCTGAATATCTTCTTATCCATATCAAAATCAATCAAAAGAGAAGCATAACATATTTTACCCAATGAGTATACGTTATTAAAAGGGCAGAGCTGGGCAATTATAAACTGCTGAGCGTGCGAGTACATGGAAACTGGAGGAAACCATACAATACTGGCCTTATATGGTAAAGATGTGGACGCATCGTTTCTGAGAAACATTTTGCACGAGGATCTAATGAAAATGCATTTCTTGTTCATACCCATGACACATCCTCATTCATCATGCAGTGAATAGGCCGAGGAATCCATGTCTAATTGCTGGCTTGTGAAGGACCACTCAGAAGAGACATCCACTGCCAGTCACGGTGACAACACAGCTCACCTGCACCTCTAAGCAGCAAATATAAGTGAATGCTGAGGCTGGAAAAAAGAGTTACAAGAATTTAATGCCTGCCTCTTTTTTTTTTTTTTAAACTAAATGGTGACTTATTTTAAGTACTACCTATCAGTTTTCCAAGGCTTACATATAGAGTAATTTCATTTACTAACTAATCAGGTCACTGTCTCATTAAGGATGTATCACACCTCAGCTTCACGATCTAGAATATCACTCCTTTTCTAGCATGGAATTGAAAGTTTAGCTGCGAACAGTCTGCCACCACTTAGAGTCCCTGCTTCAAATAATGTTTAAAAACTTATCAATTAGTTACTAGTCCCTGCCACTTGTCACAAGAGAGCTCTTATTGTACCTCTCTAGCTAAAACTCCAAGTGCTGGGAATGGCCAGCAAGTCAACTCAAGTAGCAAAATGACCAAGGTTACCAATAGCGCTGGCCCCGTGCCTAGTTCATAAACTTGTGGCATATCAGTGAAATAGGTCACGGCACCAGCTTAGGGACTGTCATTATCTAAAAGATCCAGTGGTCTGCCCAGGGGCCAGCAACATGAGCCCCAGGAAAAATTCAGCCTCCAAAGTGTGCGCACAGCTGGTACAGGGGAGTGGGTGACAGCAGTTTCCATGTGGCTGGCCCGAGCGGAGGCTGACAGCTTTGCCATGTTCCAGCCAGCAACCCTCATGGTGGCAGAAAACCATCTAGACACTGGCACTATCATTTACTTTGGGTTTGGGGAAAGTTCTCAAAAATTTCAAAGCAGCCACAAAACTCAACAGAGCTCCTGGAAACTGATGCTTCAACTAAAACCAGAGTTAGGCAACGCTTTCCTCCAATAGGCATTTTTGAGGAGGGGAAAGTAAAAATCAAAATTTAAGCACCAGTAAATACATTATCTCACTGTTCCAAGAAGGAATGCTTGTGATTTTAAATAACCTTGCAAATACATTCCTCCTGAGGCATATAAAATTCAGCGTAACGCTAACGGTATTTCTAGTTGTTAAAGATATTTCCCATCAATTTCAATGGGAAACCGTAACTTTTCCCACTTACATCTCACAGTGTATCTTATTTATTTCTCACACCTCATGTCAAAAAGGAATCCATACTTAGGATGTGCACTCATCCTACATGCCAAAGGCGGTACTGTGCAATCAAAAAACTCTAAATATGCATGAACAAAAGTGTACAGAAGTCTTCTCACAGATCTGTTTCTATAAAGGAGCTCCACTCTGCAATGTGTTTTTAACGGAGCTGATGGTATATCACAGAGGAACCTGAACCCATTTTCACCCTCCCAAACTCTCAAAATTCAACATTGGGAAGCTTGCCCATATGACCTCTGCATTATATAAAAGATTATTCAGAATGACTGTTTCTTAATATAACCACAACCCCTAACATGATAACTGTTTTCAATGCACACATTAGCTTGCTCAATATTAGGCTGAAGATACTACCAAACTGGGGCTACGTGAACATCTAGTGGGTCCTTCAAAATGTACCATTTTGTTAATTAAAGCCACACAGCACTTTAACCAGCAGACTCACTCTTTCTCACAATAACCTAGGTCTCCAAAAAAGTTAATCAACTTCCACGGTGTTAAAAAGTGACACGTGTTAATTTTTATCAGTCAAATCAAGTATTCCCCTTTACGATGCTCCACATACCCCACATATGGGGTCTTTCTAGCTGACATCCTGGAGTTCAGTCATGCAGACCCCGGCTGCTCCAGGGTGCGTGCAGGCTTCTGACGGCAGTCCACACCGCCCCCTTCATCTAGTCCTGCGTGGCAGCTTCCCAGCGCCTTTCCAACTTCTGACCTGCAGTCATCTCATCCAGCCGCTTTATCATCTGTGCTTATTATCCAGACTGACTTCACCACCCTCGGATATAAATGCCTAAAAAGCCCCTCCCTATCCTGACTCAAGGAACAAGAGACAAAGATTTTCCAAACTGTCCATCCGTATTTTATATTCATATATTTTAGGGAAAAAATACTGATCAAAATCACTTTATGTGCCCAAAGTTCAATAACTTTATCATTCTGTCCATACTTTAAAAGACCTTCTGTAAGGCACTGATAATGACTCCTTACTGGCCTCCGAGTAGTACACTGAGAATTCTTGAACTCTCGGCAAGGAGAATGGTAAGTCAAACATGTGCTCGGAAGCAAAGGAAAAGTTTTCAGCCCAGGCATAAGGGCTCCATTCACACTGTGCAGAGTTCAAAGGAGTCCAAAAAGGATGTCTATTGAAGTTTTTTTTCAACTTCCTTTTTCTTTTATCAGTATTATTTATGTGGATACATGTTCTGTCGAAATCTCTTCGGGCCCTATTGCTCCACACGAAGAAGCTACAGAGTCAGTGATAGTGGGACAGGGTAGAGTGGCACAGGCAACGTGACAGGGACTTCTGCAGCAGACTGAGGCACACAATATATGTCTTGTCGACAAGCTGGCTACCGAGAGTGACAGCTCCTGACCTGGGACTAATACATTCTGAGGAGGTTTTACTTTAAGGGAATCCAAAACACCAACCTTGAGGGGAAGCGGAGGCGCCCTGGAATCAAGCACACAGGTTGGGTTACCCAGTGCTGTCAAGTAAGCGAGATCCTAGAGCTGCCAGAGAGAGGCAGTGTGGCTCTGTAGAGAGCTCACCTGCCTGCAAGCAAAGAACAACAGGCTTTGTGGGCATAAGAAAAGATGCCAAGCAAATTACTTGGCATCACGGGTTGTCTTTAAAACCTGGGTCTAATACCACATAGGCCATTTTAAAAGTCCATTAAGAATATGAGGGAAGTTACTGTAAAACTATGGATTTCACGATCAGAAAGCAAAGCAGTTGGAAGTTAACGTTTCCTTGCTCAACCACGCCTAAATACGCAACAGTGCACAGAGACACTGTATTTCCTAACTTAATTTATAAAGTGAAAACTTCATCACTACAGACAAGTAATTCCATAATTTCTGGTCTGAGAATAAACAAAAACTAGGAATCCAAGATGAGGTAGAACCTAGTCAAAATAAAATTCAGCTCGAAAGCAAAAGCTGAAAAGCAAAATAACTACTGACGTAAGTGCAAATATAGGAAATTAAAACAAATCAATTTCAAATCAGAAAGGAGAGTAATAGGTTGCCTAACCCCCTGTACTCAGCAAGTGACATGGGATTTCTCCCCGAGGATCCTCTGTGAATGACTGTCCAGGGCTTCCCAGGGCTACCCCTTTCAGTCCAAGGGCTACCCCTTTCAGTCCAAGCTCTGCAGTCGGTTACACACAAGCTTCAGAGGAAAAATCCACCCTCCCTGAAGTAGAGCTGAAAACCAGAAAAACATTGGAGCTTTTTTTAAAGGTGAATGCCTTGGGCTCTGTGGCCGAGGCAGTTCCCATCTTGCAGCAGTTATGAACAAGCAGGAGGATGGGAGGATAGACCCAGTTCAGTAGACTGTATCATTTACTCATGACTTAAAACTCAGCCAGAAAAGAAACCCAAGTCACTGTTCCTCTAAGAAAGCCAACACGTGCTCCATCACTCACCCTCCCAGCTCAGCCTCCCCTGGACTCAACTCAGGTCCCACCCTAACAAGTACAGATATTCAACTTGGCAGCAGAAAATTTGCTACATATGGTTATAAAGGAGGCTTCTGGACAAATCAGGACTGTAAATATTTGTCCATTAAACCTTGGGTCTATTTCAGAGTAATGTGTGTTCGGAAACCTTTTCTTTGCTGCTTTCCCAGACTTAGGTTATAATGTTTACACAGTGAGGGCTTCCGCTAGCAGCACTTGCCTGTGTGCTCAGCCCAGACTCACGCTCAGAAAACCAGCAAAGAGTTAAACGTTCTTTGCACTTGACTCAGTGGCTTCCCTCCACCACACACTCCCAGATCCCACCATTCTCTGAGCCACCAAGCAGCCAATCAAAGCAAAGGAAGGAAATTATCCTGGCCAGCTGACAGCCCCAGAGCTCTGATGGCCATATATGGTAAAAACCACTGTCAGAGCCCTGTCAGGCCTACAGGCCGGCTGCTGTGGACATTATCAGTGAACTGCAGCAGCAGGAGAAGCCGGCCAAGGAAATGTACAAAGGACAGGCTGCCTGCTCATCTCCAGGGGTGGAGGACGGGGAGGGGAGGGGGGAAGCCGTCCTCTGCCAGGGCACACTCTGAGTCACAGCCACTCACTGTAATCCAAAATAGCCCCAGGGTACATTGTGAGACTCCTTCTGCCAGGACTCTAAGCTCCATTGTTAATGGGGTGAGCAGGGTATCCCCCCGAAAAGCCCCCATAGCAGGACTGTGGAAAACAGTCACTGGGAGAAAATGAAAGGGCCCTTCTGTGGCACTTCATGTGGTAATGAGGCCGTGCAGTGCTCGTGCGGCTGGCAGCTCGTGACATAATTTGGAAGTCATTGTGCTGCACCTGGTGCCGTCCCCCTGCATCCCGCACCGCCCCCACCCCCGCCTCGCAGCCTTTCACCGCCCATACAATTGACAGTTTAAGGTGCTCAGAGCATCAGACAGCATCTGTTTCAGGAGGCAGTGAATGGGCATCCCGTGACACATCAGGACACTGGCACTGAATAAAACTCCCTGCTCGTCACACCAAAGCGACCATGTGCCAAACGCCCACATCTGTACAAAGGGCTACTGGCATTGCTACCCTTGTCCAAACTGGAGCAATGCTATTTGTGGGAATGAAAACTGCCTGTCAGCAGAGTAGAGTAAGGGGGACATGCAGCCAATGCAAAGCCAGCAGGTGCCGGCAGTGACGGGGGGTCACAGAGAAGAGAAAAGCGCCATCGGGATACTGCCATTCCTTTTGAACTAGTCTATGAAAGAAGGCACTTATCAGCACGGTGCCTGGCACTTAAAGGAAGCCCTCCATAATGTGAAGTGCTGTGATTTCAACACTGTGGCTGGCTCCTCCTTTCCAAACCTTAAGACAATTCTCTGAGCTGACAGAACCAAAGCCCTGATGAGCTAGTGTTTTTGTTGAGCCTTCTAATGCCAGAGAAAGAAAGAATGC